TTACAAGGCCAGGGATATTATTGTGTAATTGCTTGAAATTAAAATGACCTCTATTTCGCCTCAGGCTTCCAAAACAGCGTTTACTCATGCTACTAACCAAACTTCCAGGTTGCTTGTTTAATAGACCCCTTCAGTTGATCCCTTGACTGGTCAGTCTGATCGTTGCAATGCACACGCCTGGATAATAGTCTCCATATATTCTCAATGCGATTAAGAGATGGCTGCTTCCTAGCCACCGTCTCACCCTCCGGGCAGCGTGCATGTCCCTGTTGTCTTGTTGAAACATCAAATACTCACCACTGCATTGACCCACAAAGGACAGTAGTTTGGCAGAAAGTGCTGGGATGTATAATTGAGCATTCCACTTCCCCTGTAAGAAACACCAATCGCAACAGCTTGCGGGAGATGAAAGGTCCACCACGAGCTTTAGTGTAGGTATCCACTGCGATTTTCGGGTCTCTTTAGACGGCTGACACACATTGAAAGCAGCGCCAAAATCTTGACTTGCTCAGCATCCGTCAGGTGCGCTTTTCTACGCATTCGCAAAAGGCGAAAAATAACCAAAATTGGCGTATTTCGGGGGAAGATCGATTTGAAAGTGTTGCTTATCTGGTCGGTAGTATCAAGCACTTGACTCTGACCAAAGTCCAATATTAGATGGCTTTAGAGGTGTGAGACAGCCATCCCCTGACCAGCGATGAAACTTCATTTACGAAAAGGCGACCTTATAATTGCAGGACAGAATACATGCGCTACTAGTTCTCGAAATTCTAGTCAAGTTTGAGCAAACCGTAGATGTTCAAATAAACTTCACAACCAAAGCAATGTATCAACCTAATGTATGGTGCGCTTTTAGATATTGAGACTGGATGTGGCTAAAATTATGACGGAAAAAGAGGAGATAGGAGTGCCCAAATTTACAGACACCCCACTTTCGGAGGAAATAGTAATTTCTTAAAGATGGGCCGCGAAGAAGCACATATATGCGAACTACAAATAAAAACATCTGGAAGAGAATAAAATATTGCAGGAAGGCTGCTGGATGGCGTGGATAAGCGGGCTTACTTACAGGCCAAAAGGGTAGGTTGCCATCGGCGTTGGCGCCACCAACTATGTACAGTTTTTCCTTCCACAAAGCCGTATCGTGTCGGTACCTAAAGAGAGAAAATCAGCGTGTCTGTAATTGGCGACACGAAACGAGCACACTAAACTGCGTTTCAGGGCCGTCATGACATAGGTCATAATTGGGCATTATAGCACTTTATAGAGCACTCGGTGGGTTAGATATCAACCTTTTTGAACATTTTTCTTCCCCTTTCGCTCTGGTCCGGCTTGAAAAAGCAAGGCGTACACAATCTCCGAATAAGACGGCCGACAGTGGACTGGTTCCTGGACGAGGGAATAGAGAACGAGGTCGACTCACGGGACTACGTCCCCACAGCACTCAGCGCATATTCCTTACAATATGACAAGATTTTAATTATCGCAGTGCACCAGAAGCCGTGGCTTGAGAAGCGGCCAACTGATTTGAAAGTCACGCAGCAACGGCTCCTTAGTGTGGCCTCTGTGACATTCTTACCCAGGTGGCATTGGAGCCGTCTCCCTTTCTTTTTGTGTGAAAACCTGGTACACTGTGCACGGGGACAAGGCGTGCGGCACACAAAGACCCACTGTTTAGCCACTGTCGCCTTCAGTTTTCTTGAACCTGTCTTGACACGGGACTGAGTTGGGCGAGTGGGGGGGGAAGAGTGCGGAAGGTGCGGCGAAAGTCAACCGCCATCATAAACTGACTCAAGCGTAAGTCACCGTCCCTCCGCACACCCAGGCACACGGTGGATGTCGTCGGAATCGATGGTCGAGCCGTCAACGGTGATGACATTTCGAGATTTCAGGTAAAGTTTGCGGGTCACGCCACCTGACACCACATTCAACATTCCTCGATATGGTTAAGACTTGATGAAAGTCGTGTTGTTAAAAGGACGAATCTGCCCGACAAAGGAAGTCAATTCTCGCTTGGAAATTTGTCACAACACTTTTCAGCAAAGACACGTTAGGCCGGTTGACCTGAAGTTGCTGGTTTGAGGTCCTGAGCTGCGGTCTCCGGGGTTCTAGAAGTTCATCGTAATCTACTGGCTGCTAAAAGGCAATGGAGAATGACTCAGTCAGTTCTCCCGCAAGGTAGTCTGAAATGCAATCCGGATTGTATGATTTAGCTGACACCAGGTTTCGCGGTTCTGACAGTGCTATAAACTCGGTAATTTTAAGTGAGGACATTTATGGACTGGATACAATACCAGAAAGTCTATCTACTGTCAGTTCTGGCTCATTGATGAAGACCACGGAGGAAGTCTCAGCTTTCTGGTGTCTCATGGCTACAGTCGCACCCTCTTCATTTTTAAGCATGGCAAGTGACTAGGAACGATTCAAGCAGGGTGCTGTTTTTGTAGAAGCGATTTAACTTTTACACGAGCTGTCGTGCCAGGAGTCTGATTGCGGTTTGTCCGTAGGAACCTTATATCTTTAGTTATCTCCCACTCTGGCTTTAGCCCCCCGGGGTAGGCTATCTCGGCCTGTCTCTTTGAATCCCATAGTTTAGACAGTATTTGTCAGGAGGAGGGGGAGGGCAACTCACCTCTCAGTGACCATTCGTTCAGTATCCATTTCACGCCTATACAGTGCCTCCCAGGTACCTTCGGCGAAGCTGTAGGCATAAATGTTGATGGAGTAGGTGTAACCCATGGCGCCGCCCACCTTGAAGAGCACAGATTTCCCCCCAATTCGTCCAAGCGTTATGGTCTATGCAATGAGCATGAAGGAGAGGGAGAGTAAAGGAATAAAAGGGCGACAGAAAGAAGGCAGTAACAGGAAAGAGAAGTGCAGGGTGGCTGACAAACCCACATGTCCATAAGTGGCTTGTGGCATATTGTTCGGATCACCGTTTTTCGGCTTGCAAGGGTACGAGGTACAGGTTTCATTCACCAGGTCCACCTTAACAAGACTATTGTCAATGTTCTCACCGAAGGGCACGCCTGTCCCGCCGTTTATAAGGATTTGTTTGTCCAGGGAGATTGCTTGACAAGGGTGGAGGAGAGGGATTAAGCCGGCAAAACAAGCATACCTGCAGTGGAGAGTGCCAATTTGAAAGCGTCGCCACCCTTAAGACTGACTTTACGCCAAATCCTGGCAAAAACGTTGTAGGCCCAAATCTAAAGAGGCAAAACACAGAAGTTGCGGTCTTCAGCCCCATAACTGACCTCGGCCTCTACGCGGAGGCCGCTGGCGTACTGGACATAGCCGCCTACTACGTAGAGATCACCTCCGATGAAAACTACACGATGTCCACTGCGACCAATTGGGGCGTGTTCTGAGTCCGAGAAGGGAACTGTCTCACATTGGACGAGGATCGATGCTTCTTTCTCTGCGGTCATTAGGTGATGCGGAAACTACGAATTGACCCTGGATAGGGCAGATATATAAGAGAAGAGTGCAGGTAACGATTTTTGAGGACAAGAAAACCGAGGGGGCCAATATGTGGGGATAACAGTAACGGGCTGTGTACAATATTGTTATTGCAGGCTAGGGCTCATCTTTATCTTCATCAGCCTAAGAAGATCACTGTTAAAGAGAGGAGTGAGCATTTTAGGAAGACATCTCATCCCTTTATACGGAGTAGAATTAGAAGGAAATACACCTCGCTTGGAGAATCAAACCTTGACTCATTAACTGGCTAGACCGGAATGATGATACTTTCCTGATAGCTTATCTGCTGGATTCTTGGCACGCTTTCGGGTGTCTAATAGTGGAGCGACCTTAAGCGGGGTCCAACTGAGAAGCAAATTGGCTCACGAGTTTGACCAGCAAGTGGTTATTGGTTACAAACTATGCGAATAGATCAGGTCTGACATACCAACTGCCCCGTAAAATACCGGGGTCCGGTACGGATCCCATGCGTGACTATCGAGAGTCACCTGAAAACTAGCTATCTTTGTTCCTTCCATGAGGAATGGAAAAAAACCAAAGGTCGAATTGGGGACTAAGAAATCGAATTTTCTCCCCCATTATAACATAAATTCTTCGATGTCGAATCCTGAGATGTGCTGCGGCTTTTGTAGAAACCAGCACATCAAGACCTCCACCAGTGAGTCGTGTAGGATATATGTGGGCTGACTGAATTAGAAGAAATAGAATTGCATTTCACTTGCAGCGAGGCGAAAACTCTTCCTGAACAATGCACTCATTCCAGCATTGGCACGACACAGTGTGGGCGCCACCTGCGTCTCCAAGGTTCGCCTGTCAGACCACGTCTGGTGCATTATCAGGGCATCAGTCGCGGACGGAGGTTCATGTCTACACCACTGGAATGTTACCGACAACTGTGGTCAACACAGCATTGTAAATTTTCTGTGTGTTTGAATCAAGGATTACTGTGTGTGCTGGGAGCCGGATTACATATAAGACTACAACAATGGTGGCAATAAAATCCAACCACACTGGAGCAGTTCAGTCTAAGACTCACGCGCGCAAAGTGTGCTGCTAACTCCGGTAGTGACAGTAGTTCTGACCAAGCTTTTGTGGGGGATCGGCTACGGCTCAGATAACGTGCAGTCGACAGGACGAGGCCTTTAGTTCAGTTTTATTAAGGGGAATATAGACAAGCGCCTTTGAACTCCCTACTGGTTACAAATCGTTTGAGAAAAGCACTGATAAGTGGAAAGTTGAAAAAGAGATTTTGTACATAATAGCATGTGAGGAAAAGGTGGTGATTATTAACGGCTACTCTCCAATTGTAAGTAGTATAAGCGTATATATGTTGGTGATGGGTTGCGTAACTGTGTGGCTTGTGACTGGGAAGCTTGATACGCGTCGAGTCTACACTTAAATGAGCCCACAGAGGAAGACAGTACAACATTAGTAGGCAGGGCATTCCACGCTGCAACCACCCTGTTAATGAAAAAGAACTTTCGTCTATTGATCCTTGCTTTACCTGCGCGAAGTTTTAGGCGATGACCACCCAAAGTGGACGTGTCAGCTTGAGCGAAGTGATCACTGGGATCTAAGAAACAGTCTAGGCCGTTTATAATGAGAAATATTGGTACAAGGTCATCACGTAGTTGTCTGTAGGAAAGGGGAAACAGGTTGAGAGTTGACAGTCTGGTTTCATGGGGCAGTGCTCCCAGACCTTTCGACATTTTGGTCGCCGTCTCTGGACCTTCTCCAAGACGGTATAATACTTGGAAGTCCGGGGTCTCCACCCCTGTATGACGTATTCTAGATGAGGCCGCACGAGGGTGCCAAATATCTTGGAAAAGCAGCCAGTGCCAAATCCCATAAAGGCTCGCCTAATGAGTTGCAATGTAGCCATGGCTAACTTAGCCGCCTTGGCACAGTACAGTGTTGGTTTGAGTGAAGTGGTAATCCACACACCCAAGTCCTTCCGACTGTCAACTTGCAGTGGCGTATCTTGAAGGAAGTAAGTCCTGGGGCTGGAGGCTCTGCAGCTGCCGAGTTGAAGAAAATTGCACTTACTCGCATTTAAGGGCATAAGTCAGCGCTTCGGCCAGTTCTCGAACCTGTTTAAGTTTGTTTGTAGGTGGTCTTCGTCTGCCGCATTGCGAATAACTTTCCACAATTTTATGTCGTCAGCAAACAGGATGGTATCACAGTCGTGGTCCTTGACGAAGTCATTCATGAAAATGAGGAATAACGTGGGGCCTAAGACTGAGCCCTGTGGGATGCCATTAATCACGCTTACCTCTGAGGACTGTTGGCGTCCGACCTCCACTCTTTGGGATCGTCCAGTCAAAAAGCTCTGGATCCATACAATAAGGCGTCCACGAATTCTTGCGTCGCGCAGTTTGTGCAAGAGACGTTGATGAGGAACGCTTTCGAAAGTCTTTTTGGAGTCGATGTAGATGGCGTGCACCGCATTGCCTTCGTCGCGTGCTTTGGTCCCGCATTCGAGGGAAAAGAGTAGATTTGTGAAACAGGAGCTAAAACTTCGAAAACCGTTTTGGGACCGGAGACGAGGTGATGTTGCTCGAGGAACTGCATCAACGCTTTCTTTATGATTTTCTCCATGATTTTGCAACATATGCAGGTAAGACTCACTGGCCTGTAGTTATTCGCCGACGCACGACTTCCACCCTTAAAAAGCGGAGTGATGGTAGCGGACTTCCAATCAGAGGACAGGCATCCAGTGAGAAATGACGTTTGGAAGATCAAGGCTAACGGTTTGAACATTTCGGGAGCAAGCTCTTTCAGCAGCTTGACCGGGATTGCGTTAGGGCCTGGGAAGGATGATTTCTTCAGGTTAAGTAATTCTTTCTGAACGGTGGCCTCGGTGGAGAAGACTGTTTCAATGATGGGCGTTTCTTCGTCTCCACAAGTGGGTGGGAAAAAATCGGGTTCGCTTTTATCGACGGACCGGAAGAACTGAGAGAGATGTTCAGCCTTATCCTTGTCATTTGAGATTTCCGTGTCCTCGGACGTTCGCAGTAGTGGGATGGGATCTTTGTTCCGCTTACTCTGCCTTATTTAACTGTAAGGGACTTCGGGATTAACTGTGGCACGGTTCAAAAGACCCTTTTCAAAGACTTGCAAATCTCTGGCGATGAGAGTTTTGACCCGGTTTCTCTGTAACTTATAACTGTTTAGGGATTCTGGCGTCCGACCAATGAGGGATCTTCTCCAGTTTCCTTTGCTTGTTAACTTCCTTCTTTAAAGACGGAGTCAACCCGCGGAGTCTATTCACTAGTCTTCTGCGCATGATTAAGCAGTATTTGGAGATAAGGCTGTGGACTATCTCTTTGAACTGACACCAAACCTCCTCGATATCGCCGGAGAGTGTGGATGCCCAGTCGATAGAACGAAGATTCTCTTTCATCAGTTCGAAATCGCCGCGCCAGATATTGGGTCAGGAATCGAGCGGTTGTGCAGGCAGGGAGAGCAAGGTGTACTTCCACATGAGAACTACATGGTCACTCTGGCCTATTGGGAGGAGACAATTCACAAAGTAGATGTTATCAGACGACTTAGTGAACACAAGGTTGAGGCAGTTCATTTTTTGGCCCTCACGAAATCTCGACGGAAACATTACGTGTTGGGCGAGAAGCAGATTGCCGGTGGTATGCAGAAGCTGCTGGTCGAATGCTGTTTCAGAGCAGTCAGCGGAGGCCGAGCTCCAGTCGATGTGAGGTGCATTAGAGTCCCCAACGATGAGAGTATTCAGCCGTGTAGAGAATAATCTAAGCCCATCCAGCAGTTGGGCGTCACCTTCGGGATCATTTCTCGGGGGACGATATACTGCCAAGATGTCGAAGCTTTGAGAGCCTGGTGCTCTTATGGTCAGCCACGGTGCTTCCATACTAAAAGCCAGCTTAGCAGCTTTTTCCGCAACGTACAAGCCATTTTTAACAAATGTTGCTATGCCTCCACCCCTTCCGTTTTCCCTGTCTCTGCGGAACAGTTGAAATCCAGGCAGCATAAGCTCCCTATCATCAACCTGTCCGGACAACCATGTTTCTGTTATTGAGATAACGTCTGAGTGGAGGTCGCAGATATGGATTCGGAGTTCATCCAGTTTTGAACATACACTCTGCGCGTTAGTATACATAGATGTGACTTTCGTGTTCATGCGAGATTTGTTAACGACCCCGACACAGGCTACAGGGGTATCTATGCAGTTATATAAATTGGCTCGAGCCAGAGGGGAGCAGAGTGTTGTTTTACTATCTGGCCTTTGTAGATTGCCAATTTCTGAATAAATAATATGCCGATCATCTCACTGGTCTTTCAATTGCCAAGGATTTCTATCTTACTTTCTCCAATTCCATTGCTACACTGACGAAAAGGCGGATAGCTTTAGAGTCCCACTCAGTAGGATTAAATTAAACAGAAGTTGATCATCCTCTGCAAAACTAACTTTAGAAGGCACTATGGCGCATCAAACGGCAAAGCAGAATGACATATCTGACAAAACAACCCGATTTGCTTTTGGTGTCAAGATTTTAGATAATAGATACGAGGCTGTACCGAGATTGGAAGACATGCTAGCTCTACAATATATCTGTCTCAACCACCACAGAAGACAACTGAGTGTTGAAAGCTTTGACGAAGGGTCCGATCATCCAGCGGAAGGGAGATTTGTCCAGTTTTGAACCCGGCAGGCATAGTACTCTCAGGAGTCGCCCCCTACCGACGTCCCCTCGCCACAGCATAACTGACATTGGAGTCTACTATCTAAGGGGGCTCTTCTGGCGATGGCGAATATGAAGAAGAGAGGGTCATTCTCCAGCGGAAATTTTCAAGCGCTATTCTACGATGTTATATTGCCGGTAACAGAAGCCCACCAGCACAGCACACGAACCAAGTCTTTGAGAGAGTTGAAGTGGGTAACGTCATTTATGGCTCACCCAGCACTCGTCATGACTGTATTCAAGCACGTGAAATACTGGGTCACTCAGGGTGCGCTAACAGAGCATCTAGCATATTGTCCCCAGTGCGTCATGAAAATCGAATACGCAGATGACGTTGTGGTACCACGGAGCTCCTTTTAAGATGTGCAGCGTTGAGTGTCCAAAACAGGTGCGAGGACAACCGGAATGTCATAAAAATAAACTCATTTCAGATGACAATGGCCGTCTTTGATTTTGAAGCCGGAGATATCTGGGCGGCCTCAGTATAGGTGACCTTCCTGGGTTCGTGGAATTTTTGCCACCTTGGCGCGAACTTGTCGGCAAATGACAAAGTCGACCGGTGGACCATACAGGCAATCGTTGGGGACTATACGATGCGAATCGGTAATCTTTATTGTATATTTTAATATCTTAGCGTCAGCCGATCGAAAGTAATCAGCAAAGCTTCCAGTCATTTTACAATGCGCATAAAGTTCTATAGCTATAGTTACGGGCGGCCACAATCCACTTGGTCAAAGACCCGTAAACCATCTGACGTCGGCTTTGTTAGTGATAACGGGATAACAGCGATGCTATTATCAATGTTTTCGGTCATGTGAGTGGGCCAGTCTAATCGGGCACTAAGTGGTCTGGTCATGCATGTAAAACTGTGACGAGACTCTAAAGCCCAGAGGATTCGGAGCAGGAAAATCAAATATGATAAAATAAGATAAAAACTTCGGACGCGTTCGATTTCTGCGCCTTTTAACAAGCTAGTGAACTGCCCATGGGCAGCTGAAAGTGGACGTCTTGCCCGAGCCGCCAGCATTTCAGTTTAATAAAACGCAAACAGAAAATATTCACGAATTTCAATTACTTCAGTGCAAACGAGCAAGAGGGACATAGGTCTAACACGCTACACTGTTTGACTACACTATTCGCAATCTAGGGCAGACTGAACGTCGCGTGGAAATAAATTGCGAACTGACAACGTATCCTTTGGATTTGGATTACAAGTACACCAACTCGAAAGTTCTATCATTATTGGAATTTTCGGATCTCGACGTTATTTCCCACGGTATCAGGAGGAAGATTCTACCGGAATTCTTCAAGGAACAGCACCACTGATTAGTCTTCTCATTCGCACCGGTGAAGTATACCACAAATTCTCCATCAAAAGATATTTGCAATCGTCCGACCATCTGTACAAGTCTCCCTACTTGACAACTATTCTCCGAGATCTACGTCGAAAACTATAAACGGCTGAGTCGTTTCCTATTTTACTTCATAATTGGCAAATTCTTCATTCTAACAATTGTTGAAAACATCCTGCACTACTCTAGAACTGATTGAAGAGTTTGAAAATTATCAACAATGAGCCAATTTGTTATAAAAAACTCGTTCACAGAAGTGGTGCAACCGGGATTTGAACTCGGTACCTGCGGTCTCGGAGGCCACAGTGTTAGCCACTGCGCTATCGATGAACGGTTTGGCGTTAGTCAGATATGTTTATCAACTACAGAAGAGCAGCTGAAAACGGTCTTTAATTCATTAGCAGTCTCTTGCGATAAAATGCCGCTGGAATCATTAGACTCCAGGAAGATTACGCACAATAGGCTCGAAGAGATAAGACAGGAAATAAGAACCGATGCACTGCCAAGAGGCCTCGAAAACTGTATGACAGACGGGACGGATTCTGCGCTTGTCGGTCGCTGTGTCGGCTGTAAGGAACTTGAGAAGTGGGTCCAGACGCTAGAAGAGAAGCAAGGCCTACTGACGGACATCATCATGACTATTCTTAAGCACAGTAAGATAGAATTACCAAATAATCCGCCAAAATTCCGATTAATCGGCGACGAACATCCTACTAATAAAGGCGCTAGCGCGGAAAAGTCAAAGCCAGTCAGGAAGAGGAAGCGAGTTATGTCTTCAGAGGAAACTCTAGACAAATCAGTTCCGGTGGATAACGTGGCAGTCGACACTAATGCATTAAAAATAAGTCAGGTTCCATTACCTGCTATAGTAACAAAACCTGCCAAATCATCGAACAATAAAGTTGGGAAAGCCAGGATGACCCTCAGAAGATCTGTTAGGAACTACAAGGACTCGCCGTTATTCTTGGAAGGCAATGCTGTTACTCCACTTCTTCACAAGGCTAACTCATCTGGAAAGTGTCCTAACCATTCCGTTTATGGAAAAGGACACGATAAGCCTTCGTGCAGTACATTGCAACAGGGTAATGATTGTAAGAGCTCCACTGCCGAAGCAAGTACGTCACATGAAAATCCGTGCCCTAAACTCCCTTCGCCGGCCGAAAAGCATTCTAATGTTGATTAGCCATCATCCGTCGGGAGTACTACAGTAGCATTATATCGTCCTAGCGCGGACGGGACAATAATGAGCTCTTCCATAAATCGTAAGCAAAA